CCTAAGCCCGTCAATGCAAGGTTGGCTGAATCAGTCGTTAACAGATCAGTTGAGGGCATCTTTATTAAACGTGGCTGTCAACCTGGGATGCAATATCTCATTACATCATTCATAAATCGACTTCCAATCAATTAGTTGCTGCTGCTGATGAAGATTCCATTGATGATGATTCCAATGGATCATACACATCAGCCTCTGCCAATGTTCTCGAAGTAAATAATTAAATAATTACTTAAGTTTCATATTTTTTGCAAATGTAGACCAATAAGTAAAACAATTGCCTTTGACTAATATTTCTCATTGTAAAATGTTCTGAAAAACTAGAGTATGGATGTTGAGGAGGGTGAGCCCTCTTCACCTGGAGTTCATGATTTGCCAAATAGCCACTTGGTGGATGTACACAATCCCGGCATATCACAAGACAGTGGTGACAGTTACTGGAAAAATGGAGAGGCTGCTGAAAACGTTGACTGGCATTCAATAGTTCCACAGGTTTTTAATATAATAATTCATTAACGTTAAGATTCATTTTTAACCCATGTTTGAATTTTAAATTTTTTGTTTTTTATAATAAGTTATGTGTTGATAAGAATATTTGAAATAAATGGTACATAGGTTTGTAGTGTAGCCAACAGCTTAGCTAGCCACTTTAAAACTGTGCAGCTTCACTGCATGCAAACACAGGTTCCGACTTGCTTGCACAGGAAAATTAAAATTAGTAGAGGTCGGTCTTATTGCATGTGGTGGATACCTGAATGGCACACACGATCCGACATATCTGCCTGAGCTAGCTTGGAGAAGCAGATTTTAGCATAAACCAGATTGTGTGTAGAGCCTTTAACTTTTGGTAGCAGAACCCATTATATTATAATAACTGAAGTGAAAAGTCTCTTCTGTGTGTTTTTATTTAAAAAAGGATTCAATTATTATTATTTTCATTATTATAAATAATATTCTTCAATCAATTTTTTTAATTCCCTGATGAACTGATTGAAAGTCACGAATTTCTTGAACAATCCAAATCATTTTTGCATTGTTAATTCTTTACACTGTTCTGGCTTACATGCAAATGCAGTAGCAAGGTTTTATTTCATGGAATAAGCAACTACTTTCTAAGTTTTCAACTAGAGATGGGAATCGAACCCTTCCCTTGAAGTTCTGGCTCGGTTCGGTCAGACCTAAAGCTCGGGTTCGATTCGGTCAGACCTAAAGTTCGGGTTCGGTTCGATCAGACTTATATAGTCGCATCAAAGAACTAGATGATATAGATCATGGCTGTCTTTTAAAAGACACACAGTAGAATTTATAGCTTCACAATGATGAATCAATAGACAATAACAATTTATCTTTTAATATACAAAATAAAGTTCACAAATCGGGCTGCATGTTTGACACCACTGGTGTAGCCGTAGATGATTCAATTTTATCTACCATGCTTCGCATTTCAGCATTAACAAACTCGCGATTTTCTGCACTCGCATAAGACAAGTGTTTGTAGGAAGGTACAATAAGTGTCAACAGCATATGCAGCAGATGAATGACGTATTTTTCATTTATGCTGGAAATGAAAGCTTTTTTCAAATCACGCATAGTGTCACTGTCTGAGCCAGTTATTTTACAGATTAACTAAAGTCGAAACAGAATCGGCCATACATCAGGAGATGTTGGCACATTGTCATGTGATAATTGCACAGTAGCTTTGTGAAACGGATGTAAAAATTCATCAACATCTGATAACAATTTTTCATTAATATTGTTCAGTTGTTCAAGTTTGTCAAACTGCTTTGCATCAACAAGAAGAGACTTTACATGATCCAGCTGACACTGATTGCAAAAGAAAAAACTGGCTATTCCGACGAACGTATGATTTGCTGCTTGATGGCTTCATAGTTCCTGTAGTTCTCCGTTTTTATCTCATTCAAAACTCTCTTCATCTCCAAATTTGCCTACAACAGTTCTGCTTGCATGTCTTCATCAATTTCATGGCTATCAAAGATTCCTTCAATCCGCTGAAAATATGCTGATATTTTTCGTGGATCCGTCGGGCTTATTCCTAGCATTGGGCTGAATCTTCGAATTATACTGGCAATCTGGTCTTTCTTGGAAGTGCTGCTCTCTTGACTTTTCAGCTGCAGTTCAGCTTCTCTGCGTAACCTCCTGTCTTCCTCCTCCAGCTTCATTCGGCTTCTAGCTTCTTCTTCCGCTCGTTGTTCAGCTTTTTCCATGATCTGTATTTTCATCCTTTTCTCTTCCGTTGCTGTTTTCTTTGTTTCTGCTGCTATTTCTTCCATTATCCTCATCTCCATCTTGATTTTTCTTATCTGTGCGGCTTGTACCGGGTCAACTATCACAACATCATAGTCCTCGGTCAGGTTATTCTTTGACTTTGACTTCGCCGTACATTCCATCTTTTGTTGTTACTTTAATTAAACAAAAACAAATTCTGATCCACCAAATTAATCGTTCAGTGATTTTTTTATTTTACATTTAAAAATGAATTCTAGATTAGACTATTGGCCTCACGTTGCTTTTGTAATTTTCTAATTATTGAGATGTTTTATTATTATTATATCGCGAAAATTGGCTTTTTTGTATTTCATTTTATTATTCAAAATGTAATTTCTCTACGCTTATTAGGTCGCAGATTTTTTTATTCTCGTTCACTTTAACTTTACCAACAGACAATTTTACCAATTATTATCACTACCGCCACCTGCCTTTCTTCTCTTTGGCAGGAATCCTACTTCTGACACTAAATGTAACGGGGTTCGCGGTAATGAGTGACACCTCGTTTAAATAAAAAAAATTTTATTACTCAAAACCAAAGCATAAACCTTCACAGTAGAAATTAATAATTTGAAATAAATATCAGTCAAATGTTATGAAACTTCAACTTCGTATCACTTCACTTTCGGAACATTGTTTGAGTTGTTCCAAATAAACTAATGGAGACCCGCGCTGCACCTGTAGTTTCCCGAGTCACGTAGGAATTGCGCTATGCTGCCGGTATGTTCTTCTCCCGACGCACTCGTAGAAGAAATGACCTTCGACTTCTGGCGAGTAGTGTGAAACCCAATGAAGCAGCCCTGAACCTCTGTATTCTGTGCGGAGCTTTCAGTTCGTTGACGGCCTCTTTCGTGGTTAACTATTGCTGTCTTCACTTCTGCCGATTTCCCACAAAATTACGACAGCTAATAGTTATCAAAACCACACTAACTTAGTAGTTATTACTTTAGTTTGTTGTAATTTAGATTTTAATTTAACAATAAAACTGACGTAAATGTAATTCTACCGACGTTATTAGTACTCTACACCTATGTCCACTTGTTGACCAAAAGCGCAAGCAAGCCTCTTTTTTCCGCTCACCTCTTTCTTGTATATGCAAGCGCATTTGTAAACCGCATTCAGACCGGCTATCAATCATGTAGCACTTCACCTAACCACGAACCCTGACAATTGTTCTGTTCATTCTCTTTGTTTGTAAAATCTTTCTATAATTCTCTTCTGGTCGGAAATGATGTTGCTATTCTTTGCTGCTTGTTAATTTGCGGTTGACTTTGGTCAATGAGGATCGCTTTAGCAGTTTTTAGATGGATATGGTTCTTGTTACCGTATATTATACTAGTATTGTTTACTAATGTGATCGTTTGATTTATAGTTTCCAGACGAGTTTCTTATTAATTTTAATAAATTGGATAATAATTATAAAGTTACTGCTAGAAATATTGTAATGCTCAACCGTAAACTTTCAAAAGCTAAAATTACTGGGCGGCTCTGCTCTCAGAGTTGATCGCCCCTAAACGTGCACGATGATGATGATATATGAACAATCATGAAAACAAATTAGCAGCTGATGAAATGTGGCCATATACACTTTCATTGGTTTAAATGAATTTTTCTGAAATATTCATCTAGAATTTTTTGTTGTAATTGCGTCAGCTTTACATAATTAAAAAAAAAAAATTTTTGTCTTTAAAAGTCATAAATCCGGCTTTTTATTATCCGATTTAGTCATTTGGAGGTGCTGAAAAGGCAGTTTAAAGGCAATTATTTGTAGGATTCAAGTTAGATTAGTGCTGTAGCTTAATGCGCATAATGATAATAAGATTTAATATAAATTGGATCCTCTTTATTTTTTGATATTTTATTAAAATAACACTGCGCTACCTTTTTTTTAACGTTTTTCATCAGGAATGGGTGTCAGTTATAACAGGTGATGGAGCAAGACAAAGGAGGCAGGCAGCTGAGAATACTATGCAATTGTTCAGTGAGGCCTACCTTAGTGGAGTGCCAAAGAAAAGAAGAAAATTGATGAAGGAAAGATCAGGAGAATCATCATTTCCACCTGGAAGTGAACTTGGCATGGATTTGTCTGAATCAATCAGAATAGCTGCTGATGAATTGGACATTCAACCAATTACATCATTTCAAGAATTAAATGCCGACTTAGCTTCTAACAACAATCTTCTAGGGGCTTACAAGGAAGAAATTAAAGATACAATTAGCAAAAAATTGTCAGAAGATCCTAATTTTTCTCCGAATAAGTATCCAAATGCAGAAAAATACTTTGGTTCAGGAAAAAAATAAATCTTTTATATTGATTAATATATTTAACAATTTACCTGTCGAAACGGACAAACAAAATGTTACATTCTATATTTTTTGTGGTTTTTATTGATTTTAACATTTAAAGTTGAAACACGTTCGTTGGTTACATTTGCGCATTATAACATGTATTGCGTAGGTGTGTGTCCGCGCTGGAGTAGGACCTTTAAAATACGATGCTAATTGTGTGTGCGTGTATAAAATTATTTATTTTGCATGATTGGGACTGGCGTGTACGAAGAGAAAAATCATTTTCTTTATGTGGGGCATGCTCCTTTTGTCCAACAACAGCATAAGTACAAGGCTGGATTGCGCATGTATATATATATATATATATATGTATTTATATATATATATATATATATATATATATATGGTTAAGACTATCATCGTAGATACAATTATCAAGAAATGTCACTGCAATTTCAGCTTTGATCAGTTTCTGGTTCACTTTTCAATATTTTGTACCGTATTTTTTCATCGTATTTTAACTTATTTATACAGAAAACAATGTATTTAAGTATTTTTTTGTTATCAACCTATAGTTTATATATATATATATATATATATATATATATATATATATATATATATATATATTGAAAATGGTCATGGATTACCGAAAAAATACTTTTTCTGTATAAAATAAAAATGAATGAAAAAGTAGTTGAAAACTTTGTTTTCTTTATAAATAAGTTTAAAAACGATGATAAAAACACGATACGAGATATTGAAAAATTGAACCAAAAACTGATCAATGCTGAAAATGCAGTGATTTCTTAACTATATATATATGTGTATATACTGTCCTATGCTACACCACGGTATACTCAAAAATGGCTGACCCAGTTTTTTGTGATTATTCTTGATTTATCTTTGTCTCTAATAAAATTTAGAACTTTCAAAATTTAAAACAGACAAATTTTGAATCTTTTTATATTTGTGAAACGTCAGGCACTATATGTTTCAACCATTTAAGATCTCATAGATATGTAGAACTACTATACAAGTGAAGTCGCTTTCAACGTTCATATTTATTTATTGATAGAGATCATTATGAAACTCAGAAAAACCAATAATTTTAAAAATGTGACGTTTATTTCTATTTAAACAATGAACATAAACCTATTATTGGTCAAAAACTTCCTGAGAAATATATAAGTGCTCAAGCGAAATGAATGCTTCATCGATTACTAGATCATACAAATTGCGCGTTGTGATTGATTAAAAATTGAATATTTCAATGATGAATAAAAAATGTTTAGATTTATTTAAACCACAGAAAATTTGGAGAACCAAAAATTTTATCTAAGGCAGTGGGATATAGATCGGNCGGCGCGATGGTGGAATGGTTAATGGTACTTGCTAGATCAAAGATAAGGTCTAAACTGCGAAAGTTATGAGAAACATCAAGTTTAAGAGTCAGGTAAGACAAGGCGGCGCGATGGTGGAATGGTTAATGTAGTGTACTTGCTAGATCAAAGATTAGGTCTAAACCGCGAAAGTTGAGAAACATCAAGTTTAAGAGTCAGGTAAGACAATGCAAGGAATAGTAAGCAGGGTGTTTAGATTTATTAAAACATATTAATTCAAACTTAGAAAGATTTAGTTTAGTTTAAGATACATAGGAGTCACACCATGCGATAATAAATAACACTTGAAATTAGATGGAGGAAAAGAAGTATAAATATAAGAATCGTCAGCATGTATTTGACTAGTAATCACGTCAATCTCTGGACGATTTTCTACATAAACGATGTTTTCTGTGCAAAGACTGAGTTTTACTGACATTTAATAAAAATACTGCTCACAACGAGGGCTATGGACTATTGTTTTTTACGACAAATTAATATAGTATATTTATGAAATATAGATTTTCAATTTATTTTTACTTTAAATAGAATGTATAAAAACAAATAGAGTAGGGGGCTAAATATATTTTCATCGATATGAACATCTTAATTTATAATTTTATTTATCTGTTTTTGAAATTAATAACTACTTCTTTGCTTCACTTTTCTCTTTCCCTTTTCTGCTCACATTCGATGATTACTGTTGATTTTAATTAATTTAATAAAATTATTTTTGTCGCTTTAAATTGTCCAATTTATAATTCGATAGCACAGATGAAATATAATACAAATCGAACATTCCTCAACAAGAATATAACATTACATTATAAAAAGAGAAAAACCTATACCAAAGAAATTCAAATCCTTGCGATTGAATAAATAAAACTTATGTAGTCCTAAAATTATTACGGGATACTTACATGGTAAATAAATACATGTATAAATGTAAGGATAATAATAAATTTCAATTTCCTATATATGCTTTAGTCCAAACACAGACATCATCTTGTATTATAGGAATCATATGAATACCAACTACAAACGGACGAATCCGTTTTAAAACAAATCATTTATAAAAATGTCAAGCCTAGTAACCCTCCGACAAAGTAAAACTACGAATTTATTATAGGAATGCAAAGACATCAAACCTGGTCATGAACAACAGCTGCACTCTTCAGCATGGTTCCGCTTTAAAACGTAGCCATCTGATATATAAATTTGTATGTCCCCTCGAGGGCTGTGCGCGTCGGAATGTTTCATTACCCGCCAAATTCTTGACAACGACACAAAAATAATTTATCAAAACACCAACACAATACATCTAAATATAGCGGAAGCTGTCCTAATAGATGTCAATTAACCCCAAATAAACATCCAACAAAAAATGATTGCAAATTTGTGAACCGTGCATTCACGCATTCATCCTCGATTGAAGATCGCAATACGGAACTTAAAAGAATTACTAATCTACTAGTAAGTAATTGTTACAAAACATAATCCATTGAGAGCACCATTCAACAAAGACCACAGCAAGTTAGCAATATTCAAAAACAACAATGACAACGTATTACAGAAATCATATATCAACGGCACATAAAATAGACGAAGTCGTCCTCAAACAAATCTCAAAGAAATGTTACACCAATCAATGATACTAATAAAATAAAACTCAAGATATACTACAATAATTGTAAGACATCACAATTGGTCTTAAAGGACAACTGCACTCCTAAAGACGATTCAACTTTGAAGCGTAATCATGTTTTATATAAATTTAAATGCTTTATTGATGACTGCGCGTTAACAACTTTCTTATATTGGTGTTACAACCACTTTACTATCGCGACGTCTCATGATGCATACCCTACACAAAAAGGAGCCATCAAATCTCACTTTCAATCAACACATGCAACTCCAATGACCCGGCAAATTCTTGACAACAACACAAAAATAATTTATTAAAATACCAACATAATACAACTAACAATTGCAGAAGTTGTCCTAATAGATATCAATAAACCTCAAATAAACAATCAACAAAGAATTACCAACTCCGACTCGACGCCTTACTTAAAACTAACTTCAATAACAATGAAGAACAAAGGAATGACAACAACAAAGATGAAGAATACGACACGATCTTTGCTTTTTTAAAGAAACTATATAAACCAAATTGCACTGAAGATGATTTATGAAAAATCGAAGTAAGGCCTTATCTGCATGATGAATTCGGATAACAACAGTTTCATTAAATTTTCATGATGAACTTGGATAATTCTATTTTCAACAAATTGAACAATTTCCAGAAAATTCTGGTAAAGAAAATTGAAAAGACAAACTTTAAATTGATTAATGCTAACAATTCGGTAGAATTCATATAATATTATATAGGTATATATAAGACATAGTTACAAAGAATTTCAATTGTTTTATTTTTGTTTTTCATTTTCACGGGAGACACCAGTAAATCGCAATAAAATATATATAATCTCGGTTGCTAGATATATTATCGAGAACGATCGTCTTCTTGTTCTCGCTTTTTCTTAACTCGTGTTAAACACTCTTTTGCCAAATCTGCTTTTGCTTTTTCTGGCCCTTTTCTCTGGAACTCTCTACCTACTTCTCTGACTACTTCCTCATCACCTACAAAGTTCAGAACGGATCTCAAGACCCCTCTGTTTTCAAAATTCAAAATTCATTGAGGAGCGCTGTTGAACATCGCGAAAATAGCGCTTTACAAGCTAATTGATTGACTGACTGACTGACTGACTGACTGACTGACTGACTGACTGACTGACTGACTGACTGACTGACTGACTGACTGACTGACTGACTGACTGACTGACTGACTGACTGACTGATGAACGTTCTCGATGTTGATTGAAACGGGATCGTTTTAAATTTGAGTACCAGTTGAAACCACTGAAGCAAACGCAAAAGAGAGAGAGAAACCTTTAACCAATATATCGGTTTTGGGAATGAAAAAAGAAAAAACATCTAGTTTTATCTAAAAAATCATGCTATTTTTGGCAGTTACGATGCATAGACTGTGATATATACAATCTTACATACAAACAAACATACATATATTCATTGATATATACATTCCAAATTATACAAACACAGTATACATGCAACTTAATTACTAGTAGCAAATTTTGACATTAAGGAAAATTCCTACATTAAGAAATTAATTGGAACATAATTACACACCAATGGTTTCTGGGAAAAAACCACCACCAATTTGTGATCAATGTAAAACTAGATTATCAATCTAACACATTTTAACAGATTGCAGAAATTATAATCAATACAGATAAAAATACCCTTTTCCAAATAATTTACCAGAGATATTTGTCAACCATGTTATCCAAAATATGTTTAAATATTTAATCGAAATTGACATCATAAAGAATATATGAAGAAAAGATAAAAAAAAGACGGTAACAAATAAGCTGAAAAACGGGCTAAAACGCAATAAAAATGTAAACGAACGAACGAAAAATTATTAGTTTTTTTTATATTTTAAATTAAAATTAACTGTCCATGATTTATAATTTAAAAGTAAATTTACTTGATGTATAATGTTTTGAAACGTAGCTTAAATTTTAATCGAAATTTTATTGTACCCTATCTTTGTAAATAATTATTTTACTCTTTCCCCTAACCTGTTTCCTCAAATTTTTATCGGAGTAAGGATTAGTATTTGTTTAGATTTGCAGTAATGCTTTTGTTGTTTTGTAAAAAAAAAACTTCTTAAAAAAAGTAAAATTAATTAAAATATTAAAATTAAATAAATTACCATTTAGTAAAGATAATAAATTTTTATTTATCTTATTAAAAATTAATAAAGAAAGAAAGATAAAGTTAATTAAATTAAATAAAGAGCTTTAATATATAAATTATAAAAAGACTCCTCCAATCACTTTTTCTAATCTTATCATAGTCATTATGATTATAATATAAAAGGAGCATACAATTACAAAGCAAAAATTTTTTATTTGTTTTTTGTCATTGTTTTTTTTTTAATTTTTTATAAAATTTATATACTGTGTAGTCTGTAGTGTGTATGCTACAGCAGAACTGCTTATCATATGAATGCTTACATACACAATGTAAAAGCTTTATAAGTCTTACACTGTAAGGTAAGCCTTACACTGTAAGGGTTAAGCCTTAATTAAATAAATTATCAAAATTCGGTACCACAAAAGCTGTACTGTACCATCCGCATCACATGATATACATATCGTTGGACCTCCTTATAACCAACCTCTATACAGCAAAAATTTCTATGTAATAAGTTATTTAAAAATTGTTTCTATAGAACAAAGATGATTTTTTTATAACGAACAAAATTTATAAAAGTTGAAAGAAATATCTGACTAGAAAATGTACTAGATGAAATATTTCATTGTCTAAACAAGTTTGTTCATTTTTTAAAGAAATATCAGTAAAGTTTAGTTTAGTTCAAGGTGACATCAGACAATTTTTTTAAATAACTAAGTTATATTTTGCATCACTCTTTTACTTATTTATCGTCATTTATTGTCGTCGCTCAACGTCCTACCTTGGGGAACCGGGACTCTGGATGCAAAACGAAGATTGATTGACCCTATCAAGGATAAGACCTTCATCAAAATCAAAAGACACCTCAAATATGTTAACGCTCGATAAATATTTGTCATTTGTTCAATTTTGTCTATTCTTTTTTCTTAACAAACACTTAACTTACTTTCTATTGCCTTGCATGTTGTAACAGTTTCTGCATCTCTCAGATTCTGATATTTTAAAGAATAAAAAATAAAATAAAATTATGTTTTTGCGGTATACACATGGATTAAGTACATCATACACTCTTATGTTATTTTTTATATTTATTACAATGATACTATGTAATGTATTATTGCTCATTGTTATAAAAATATATGATTAAGAGGCTGTTCTTCATAAATATATATAAACATAATAACACATTTTAAGCTATATATAAAATTTTCAAAAATAAGTTTTATGTTTCTATATAGTAAATTTATTTCCAGGAGCCATCAAGTTTGTTGTATGGAGGTCCAACTGTGAAAATTTCAGGGTTTATTAATATAATGATCACATGTATGAATGGGTTCTTATTTTATTAATTTTTGAATTTCAGTTTTTTTGCAGCAAGTTTTAAGTGTCAATGCAAAAAAACCATGGAAAACAGTTTTACTTTTTTACTGAATAAAAGTGTAATTGATCATCTAGGGTGTGTGAGATTATTATCAAGTTATATCAACAACAATTCTATGACTATTTGGCTGAAATTGGAATTAATTCTGAAGTATAGTTTTTCTAAACGCACTTTAAAATTATTCTAACCAAGGATGTTTTCAGACAATTATTAGCAAGCCCTGAGATTTTCACAGGCCTCAGATGATATTAAAAATTTTTTTTTTAATGGTTATTAACATAAAACTTAAAAAACTGTTTTAACATAACTTTATCTTCAAATTTTCTAAAATTTTTATTAAATGTTTAGGATTATTGTTAATAAACCTATAAAATTTCATGTGCGCTAAGTTACTATATGAGTGTTGAAATCTTTGGCTGCAAATTCCTTGGCTAACTTCATGCACCAAAGGATAAATGTTTTATTGCTCCAATGTTCATATATATTAGAAAGGGGCTTTCCCAAATAATTTAATCAATCCTCGTTTATAGTCTGCTTCTGTTTCCAAGTTGTTAGTTCCATTGCATCCACCTCCTTGAGACCAAGTGCCTTCAAATCCTCCAGTATGGTCTGCGTCCAGGACTTCTTTTGTGGACCCCTTGGGTGGGGGACAGGCACTTGGTGCTCAGTTACGAAAATTATTGTAGTTTTCGCTTCGCTTCACATGGCCAAAGCATCGTAGAAATGAGTGTTTGTTTATATTGATGCCTCTGTAACTCTCAAAAACATCGGGAATTTTCAAATACTTACTAACAAACCTATCTTTTTTCATTCCAATGTATGATGACCAATGTAGAGATACTCAACTTTCAAGTTCCCACTTGACATCGAGAATGTTCTTGTCCGAATTACTCTCGTTGCTGTATAAATATTATTTTTTGCTGCTGACAAACTTTTATTCTTTTACTTATTCCACATAAAATGTACTATAGAAAGAAATTATGTTAAGTTTTTCGATGATTATAGTTTGAATTTTAAAATGTCTTATGTAAAGTATATTTTAAAAAAAGACTAGAAAAAATTGACACCTAAATTTTTTATTTTATTTTCAGATTTTAGTATGAATAAAATAGCAGATGCAGTCATTGGTAAGTTTTTTTTTGGATAAAATCGTTTTTGAATGTAGTTTTCATATATTCAAAATTAAGTTGTACTTATTTTTGATAGCTACTGTACTCCAGAGTTCTTATGAGGATTTTTTAGAAGAGTCTGGGTTTCCATTAACCAATGAGCCAGTTTGGTTTTTGGGGAAGCAATACATTGTTCCTGCAGGTTTTTGTTTTTTTAAATAATTGATGGTTTATTATTTTGACAAATTGTCAAAAATGTTCAATGTATAATCAACAGAAAAAACAATTTTAGAAGAAGATGTCTTAACAAGATTTTGGTTCACATACAGAAAAGGGTTTACTGCTATCGGTAATTTCACATATGCAATCTTTTAATTCTTTATTTCATAATTTTAACTTTAGATTTTGACATTTTCTTTTGAAAACTTCGTCTCTAAGGAGGGAATATTTTTACCATGATTGTTACAGTTTGTGCATGTCTGCTGCTGATTTCTTTAAATTCAATTCTTATTTTTCCTAACCTTTTTAACATTAATTCAGATCTGAGTTCATTCAGCCTTCTTAAAACTTTTATCACCCACTCCAACTAAGTGAGAGAAAAATTTTGTTACTGGCGTTTTTCATATTCTATCTTTGTTAATAAAGCTGCTTGACATCTTTCCATCATATCTTCGAATGTTAAAACCGAAAGTAAAAAATAATAAAGATTTAGAAAAGGGAAGAAATCACACCCAAACAAACTTTCAATCATAGAAATACATTAAAACAAAGTAAACATACAAACATTATTCATACCTCGGTTAAATTTGAAATTCACATACTTTTCATGAAACGAAAGTGCAATTTATTTGTTGTTTTAACTTTTAACAATCAGAATATTTGCATTCGCCGTCGCCCCACCCAGCAAATCAGTTCAATCTCACCAGCCAGGTTCTTACAGAAACAGTGTTTTTAAGAATGTTTTCACCAAATTTCAGTGGACCACTTATTGATGTGTTCTTGGTTCTGGCATTTATTGCTGTTGTTGTAATTGGGTGAGCTGGTAAATGATGAGATTTTCTCATCAGCTTGTTCATACTGATTGTGTCCCTTCACATCATTTTGTCTGTTTTTCTTTTTTATTATACAAAAAATGTTATTTTTTTTATTCTTTCTTGAATAATCGTGTAAAATATGCTTTTTCTTCCATCCTTTTAGCTCAAACTTTCAGTTGTTTTATTTTCTGTTTTTCTGTCCAACTTTATTGCCATCTTCTTTTCTTGTTTTAATAAAAAATAAACATATTAAATCACCTGGTCTCTTTAGTTTGTAAAGACCTTTTGGTACTTTAAAATATTTTAATTTTGTCTGAAATGAAACAATCTGAAATATAATGAGACAAATGATAAAAAAACAATGGTAACAGTTAACGGTAAAGATTATGACACAAAATAGATATATTTTTAAAAAATAAGACAATGCAGACCAGTGCACACATGTTGCTTTTTTGATTCAAGCAGACAAAATTAAAACGTTCCAGCCCAGCAGTTATTCCTGTTGCAGTAAGCTTTTATTGTCTGTTGAAAAATAAATAACTAACTTCACTTGTACTTGACCTACCTATTGTTTTTAATGACAGATTTAATAGCTTTTATGTTTTGACATTTAATGACTTAAGAAATAATGAGAAATATAAAAATGTGTTTGAGGTGGTACCGGACCAACCACTGATCAAGGATGGGGCTGCATGTTGAGATGCGGTCAGATGATGGTTGCCCATTCACTCGTGTGTAGACATCTCGATAGAGGTTTGTTAAAAGATATTTTTGCCACTTTAACTACATAATACTTTTTAGCTGGTCTGGTAAGTTAGCTTATATTGTTGTAGAGCCATGCCAAGTGCTGTTATTATTTTGCAGTGACCATATGTTGAATGCCACCAGTACAAAACTGAAATACTAACGCATTCTTAGAGCGAGCATTTGCCTGCGGAAGTTTAGACATGCATATACGTCGTTTGTTGTAGATGCACAATGAAGGAAGTAAAAATTCATATGAAGGAAGTACAAATTATAGCTAAATAAAGAACTATATATTATTAATTTACATAACATCGAACAAAAAAAATAAAAAATCAATTTTTCAGATTGGAAATGGTGCCACAAAAAGACCACCTCAAAGCATATGCAGATGCAAGCCAGATATAAATACCAACAACAAATTTACACTAAAATTTTAAAGCTTTTCTTGGACGAAAGAGATTCATACTATTCGGTTCAACAAATAAGTAGTTATCGTTTTTATATTTTATATGCATTTGTACATTATACCCCCCTCCCCACACATACACACACACACATTCATGAAAAGAAAAGGTTTGAAGGTAAATATTGGTCAGGACAAAGTTATGTGGAAGGGAGAGAATTTAGATACTTTTGAACGTGAGAAACTCCCCTGTGAAATATGTGGTAAAGGAGTTGGAGGAAACTCCATTCTATGTGGGGTTTTTGAAAGGAGACCTCAACTAAAACAAGGTTTTTGTTTGTAACCAATGTAGCTTGAAAGATGCTACTACTACATTTAAATGGCGATACTGGAGACCCGGGAAATTTGGGATATGAAAAAGTTGGAATCTATTGTTTTCTATGTGATATAATAAGTGAAGGGGTTGGTTCGGATAGAGAGATCGAGAATAGAATAAAAGTAGGATATGGAAAAATTCTGAAAAATGTCTTAAGTACTGTGTTCTAGGAGTATATCATAGTGTCTGAAGGGTAAGCTATATAAAGCATGTGTAAAAAGGTGCCTGTTGTATGGTTGCAAAACTTGGATTATAAAGGCTGGAAATAAACAGAAATGCTGGTGTTGAGAAGAATAATGGGAGTATCCTTAAGGAATGGTCTAACTAATGCGGTAATAAAAAATGGGTTGGGGAGAGATGAGTTGTCAGATGTAATTAAAGGTTAGGATGTAGAACTATTTTAACTGGCGGTTTAAGCAAAAATTGTAGACCCAAGCTCACCATGGAAGGAGAGTTGTCAAAGAACATGAAGGCACTGGGTCTGAAACCAGAAATGTTTCGGAATAAAAAAGAATAGAAAAGACGGTTAAATGTGTGTGTTCATGCGACTAGGCCAATCTGGAGCTTTCATCAACAACATACCTTGGAACAAACACTAGGATTTACCGCTTATAAACATATATATATATATATATATATATATATATATATGTGTGTGTGTGTGTGTGTGTGTGTGTGTGTGTGTATGTATGCTGGTAGAAGACCAAATTCTTGACAATATGTAATAAATTCCACCGATTTATTAGTGTTTATCAGTCTATATTCGAATTTTTCAATTTATATATATATATAAAATGAAAATTGCCTTATATATATATATATATAAGACAGGTAAGATTGAGACAACATATGAAAAGTAAAAACGGCTTGAATATTTTCTTTTTTGTAAAAAATATATATATATTTAATTTAATAATAAATGTTAGTTTTTAACGTGAATTTGATAATTAATTTTAGCTAGCATGGGTGCATCTGAAGGAAAAAATGTAGGGGAATGGTTTGGTCCTAATACAATAGCCCACGTTTTAAAGTAAATAAATTTTAAATTAATACAAATTGGTGATAAAATACTTCATAGTAAATTTTTCTCACACAGAAAAGTTTGTTGTTATGATATTTGGAGCAACATCGTAATCCACGTTTCCATGGACAACACAGTTGTTATCAGTGACATAGGTTTGAGATATGTTTTTAAATTCTACAATTTTTATCTTTGCAGTAGCACATAATTTACTTAATAAGTCGTTAACTAGTCAATTAATTAATTAATCTATTCATTCGTTTATTTAAATCATTGTTTTATTTTTCATGCTAGTTATTATGTTTACCTGATATAAAAATTATAAATGATATGAAAGTTATAAATTTTATTTTTTCAGTTTAACTTATGCAAGCTATTAACTCATTTTTTAAAATCACAAAACCATTCATTTTTTAACTATTAATGATAAAATTTGTAATCTGTATGCATCAATAATACAAACTAAAATTATATCACTAATTTAATTAAATTAAATGTTAAATGCCACACAAATGCAGTTGAACAGTGCAAAGTTGGTTTCAGTGACAGAACTCCTGAAAACACAGATTCAGATTATAATCGAAGTTCTTGGAGGCCCCTGCTTTTAATAATACCTCTTAGATTAGGTGTCTCAGAAATCAATATTGCATACTATGATCAGCTCAAGGTATTTGTAATTGCCAACGTTTGAATTGTTTTTATGCAAATAAGGCTTCAAGTCTTTTAATGCATACATTTTTAGGCATGTTTGCGACTGAAACAATCTGCTGGAGTTTTAGGGGGTCGGCCTAATCATGCTTTTTGGATTGTTGGATATACAGGTTGGTTAAAATTACCCTTATAAGACTCATAGAATCATGCGACGACGATCATCATATCCGTTAAAAGACAAGCCACTTCTGCCTCAAAAATGTTTACTAGAGTTTGAAGTTCTTGAACTTCAAACTGTAAATTTGATGAATGAATGATTGATTGTACTGTAAATTTTACCCAGTGGTAGATAACAGCTGCAATTTTATACATTTTTGATGACATTAAATAGTTCCAACACAAGCGCAAGTATGACCAGACCTTACTCAACAAATCATCCAACAATTCTTATTTTTTATTTAAAATATATCTTTAAATTAAAGCTCTGAAACGGGGCTGCCTAAAACATGAGAAAGTGCGTGGCGAACAGAATAACTTGGCACTGACTTTGCTAAAACATACTGCATTGCATTATGTATGGTTCTTTTAGAAAATCAATTCGAGGCACGTGGCTTTACTGACTTCGTTTGGTTATATCGGTTTAGTGGCCTCACCACTAACTCTTATCAAATATTTTTATTTATTTATCTGACATTACGGCTTTGCTTCTTTGGTCTAGCTTATTTAATTATAGGTAACGTTAAATATATTAAAATTAATAAAAATATAAAAAGTTAATGAGGAGGGTTTGATATCATTATCGGCTTGATACCTTTGCTGTCCATCGCGCTATCAATTATAACGCTCATTATTTTCCCGCCAACTATTTTTTTTTATCAAATTTTTCAAACGGTCAGTATTTTTTTAAAGTGAAAGTTATTGGCTTACTACCGTTAACTTGAACTCGTTGCATTTTTCATAAGTGTCATCATTACCACAAATAGAAGAAACTATGCTAAGAAACATCTTAACTCATGATTCACAATTTTTAAAAAAGCTATTCAAGTTTTTAAAGCACCTTTAGTTGCATGACACTTCTGATAGTTTTTCACTTAGGAATTGTATGTGTTTGAAATATGTAATTGAAATAGTTTGGAATATTGTGTGTTTGTATGTGTGCAGTGTGCGTATGTGCACGTTCATATAATAAATCATAACATTAAAAGTTAATTTTGTTGGTGCGAATTAATTTTCAGAAAATTATTTCTTCTACTTTGATCCGCATACAACCCAACAAGCTGTCAAATCTTCTCAACCAGCCAGTAGTCTTCATGAAACATACCACCTTAAATATCCTTCTTCTCACATACACATTAAAGATTTAGATCCATCTATCGCCACAGTGAGTTTATTTATTTTTATTGGACATTTTTTAGATAACTGGCTTACCAGCTTGGTAACAAGCACTTAAATTTTCTTATAGGGATTTTTTTGCCAAACAGAAGAAGATTTTACGAATTTGTGTAGCAACTTCCGGGAGAATATTATAAAAACGTCAATCAGTCCTATGTTCGAGCTTCTCCAAACAAGACCTGCTCATTTTACAGAGTACGAACCAAACGTTCAGGAGGGCAAATCTGTTGAAGGTTTAATACACATCTTCGTACACATCTCTTGTTTTATTTCTAGCTTTAGAGTTGAGTATTGTGAAAATTTTTATAATCTAAAAACAGCTGATAATAAGAGGAAAGAATGACTTTAATTGCTTCATTCTCCCAACAAGAATCAGCTGATTTAGTCATATATATATATATATATATATATATATATATATATATATATATTAGGGATGCACCGGATTCAGGTTTTTCAAATCCGGCCGGGGCCGGACTTGGCCGGATTTAAAATTCAAAAACCGGCCGGAGCCGGATTTTAGTTACCATTTTACATACGTTAGAAAAAATACTCACATTTACGGTTATCTACATGTTGAACATAAAAAATAACACCAAGCAAATAGTTAATTAATTCAAATATATGAATAAGCTGTGTGATACGCCAAATTCTGTACACAAAGATCAGCTTATAATTTAAGCATAACCCATGTTATAGCATAAAGAAAATTGTCCAGCTCATCTCATAATTAGTGATGTTGTTATTATGTGTCATGTATGCACGTGCACAAATTCTTTTACACAAAGATCAGCTTATAATGTATGCATAACCAATGTTATAGCTCAAAGAAAATTGACCAGCTCGCCTCACAATTAGTGATGTTGTTATTATGTGTCATGTATGCCTAGCCTAACCTTTAACATACCATGTTCTTAAATTACGCGCTTATGTATCTTTATGTATATATATATATTATGTAGCTATATGATCCGTCATATACAATTATATAGTATAAACACGTGCACAAGTTCTTTTACACAAAGATCAGCTCATAATTTATGCATAACCCATGTTATAGCACAAAGAAAATTGTCCAGCTCATTTCACAATTAGTGATGTTGTTATTATGTGTCATGTATGCTTAGTTTTTAACTTATTGACATAAAATTAATTGAATTCAATGAAATTTTTTTTCTATTTATAACATTTTTATATCCGGCCACCAAATCTGGCCGGGGCCGGATTCGATAAAAAAGCCGGATTTTGGCCGGGGCTGGGGCCGAACTTCGGTGCATCCTTTATATATATATATATATATATATATATATATATATATATATATATATATATATATATATATATATATATATATATGTTTGTGTGTGCTATGTCAGTTGTGTGTAGATGTATACAACATGAATTCAACATTGGACTCAGATATGCTATTTATATTAGATTACTATTTCAGAGTCCATAATTTAACATTTGAGTTTAAGTTGTACTTAGCAACATTAAAATATCTCCGAGATAACGTTGTTTTTTTTTCTTATTAAACGTAGTCGTTTCACTTAATGATAAGATAGCGTCCTACCTTGAGAGAACTGAGTCTCTGGACGCTTAACGAAGATTGATTTATTGAGTGATTAATGATAAGATATATTGATATTCACGAAGTTGTACCTCGGTGTAACATTGATACGTTTCTGAATTAACATTCAAAAATGTTATAAATAGAAAATTTTTTTTATTGAATTCAATTAATTTTATGTCAATAAGTTAAAGGCTAAGCATATATGACACATAATAACAACATCATTAATTGTGAGGTGAGCTGGACAATTTTCTTTATGCTATAACATGGGTTATGCATAAATTATGAGCTGATCTTTGTGTAAAAGAACTTGTGCGCGTGTATAAACTATATAATTGTATATAG